TGATGTCTGATTCCTCGCCCTGGCGCGGGTGGCCTGACCAGACACAAAAGACAGGGAACTCACAGCTGCCACCAAGCACCAGCTGCATTGCTATGACTAGCACTCCTGCCAACATCATTAGAGGTGGCTCTGGTGATACCAATACTAATATTACTGCAAAAGCTAGTGGCACAGCAAATGCTTCTGATGACGCCACCACAACAACCACTGATGATCTGACGAGCATCCCCTGTCCCATTCAAGCCAGCCCTCCAGTGGTACCAGGTGAACTGCAGTACAGCGAGGTGATTAAACAATCAACACAGGCTGACCAGAAATCCACACAGAGAGATGCACCTACGCCTGCACACACATCAACAACAAGTGCTGTGCTCAGTGAAGGTGAAGTGAGTGTTGCGCCTACTTGTAATGCAGAGCTTGATGTTTTGATCGGGGATAATGATGTTCATAGTAAGAATTATTTTTTAAGAAGCAGGATTGGAACAAAAGATTTAAAATAACTAACACCACCAACAATTCAGCATCTAAAATTACAGTTTTCCACCAAAACATACAGTGTTTATCTAGCAGAATAGATTCATTAAAAATTACTATTGATGATTTAAAACCTGATATTATAATCTTGACAGAACACAAATTGACAATAGATGAGATAAATAGTTTTGTACTTAGTGGCTATAAAACAGTTAGTTATTATGTTAGGAATAATAACCAAGGAGGTGGGGTTATGATAATGGTCTCAAATGTGATTAAATGCAAAAAAATTACCAGTAAATGCATAGACGAATTAAATATTGATAAAGTTTTTGAATCCTGTTCAATAGAAGTAAAAACAAATAATGTAAAATTTATTTTAGCTGGTATTTACAGAACCCCATCTAGGAATATTGATAGTTTTTTAGAACATTTAAATAAACTTTTACATTGCTTAGGAGAAATTAATAATAGTATTTGCGTTGGTGGTGATTTTAATATAGATATTTTGTCTGAAGATAACAGAAAAATAGATTTTGTTAATTTATTAAAGTTGCACAACATGTACTATACAGTAAACATACCAACTAGAGTTACAGATACAAGTGAAACAGCAATAGATAACTTTATTACTAACATTGACAAAGCCTATATTAAAGTGCTGTGTTTAGTAACTGCACTCTCAGATCATGATGGGCAATTGCTCACAATAAATACTATGAGTAAAGAAAAATCCAATAACCCTAAAATATTATTGGAATCAAAAAGGATTTTTAGCAAAAATAATATTAATAGTTTTATAAAAGATTTAGAATTTGAGAACTGGACACAACTTTACCAAACCCCTATTGATAAAAAATTTACATTTTTTTACAATATTCTAAGGTTTTACTTTGATAAGAATTTTCCTGTGACTAATGTTCGTACAAAACACGGATTTAAGAATTGGATAGATAGAGAGATCAAAGAAGAAAGGCAAAACTTATTAAACGCTTGTAAAAACAAAAGGAAAAATAAAAATGTGACATTTAAATTAAACATAAAGCAGCAAAAAAGAAGGTTAAAAAAACTCATAATTGAAAAGAAGAAACAATACTTTCACAATAAAATCACTTTATCTGAAAATGTAGCCAAAACTACTTGGAATTTAATCAACACTGAACTTGGAAGAAATTCTGCTAATTTACCATCCCAGATTATTTTAAAACATAATGGAAATTCCGTTACTGACCCTGTGGAAGTTGTCAACATAATGAATGATTACTATGCAGACTTAGTTGACAGCACAATAATTCCAAATTTGACTAATAAAGATTCCTTTGGGGATAGCCCCAAGCAGTCCAATGCTGTTATTGCTGATAAGTCTAGATTTAAGTTTCACACTATATCTGAGGAACAGTTAGATAAAATAATTAATTCAGTAAAGAACAAGTGGTCATCTGGATACGATGACATCCCAACAAAAGTCATTAAGGCTTCAAAAAGAGCAATTCTTAAGCCTTTACTGCATGTTATAAATGCTTCTTTGATATCTGGAGTATTTCCCACAGAATTAAAAATCTCAAAAATTATTCCAATATTTAAAAAGGGCGACAAGAAGGATCCTGCCAACTACAGACCTATTTCAATCCTACCATCATTATCAAAGTTTTTTGAAAAGTGTATGTTGATGCAACTGACTGATTATTTTGAAAAAAATAGCTTATTAGATTCGGAACAGCATGGTTTTAGACAAAATAAATCAACTATTACTGCAGTCATAGCTTTTGTTGAACATATTGTGGATAAATTAGACAAAGGTGACCATACTGTTTCTGCATTTTTAGATCTGACTAAAGCGTTTGATAGTGTATCCCATTCTATTTTACTAGAAAAACTAACTTCTAATGGAATAATTGGCAAAGATTTAGCTTTATTAAAATCATACCTAATAGGTCGAAGGCAATATGTGGAAACTAAACACCTCAATGGCAATAAATTATTTAAAATAAAGTCAAAAACTAGATTAATTAAATATTCCGTTCCCCAGGGATCAGTCCTGGGACCATTCCTATTCCTTGTGTATTTAGGAAAGTTACCAGAATGTCTTTCAAATCTAACATTAAATAACAAATTTTGTATTTTTGCAGATGATATTAATCTAACGATAGCTAGTAGCAATAGAAGTAATGTTTTTGATCAATTATCCCTAGCAACAAATAAAGTCAACGAAAGACTAAGTAACTTGAACCTTTTAACTAATAAAAATAAAACAACAATAATTAAATTCTCTTGTAAAAATGGTAATTCAAGGAATGACACAGAACCAACAGACTGCCTTAATACTGTTGACCTTGCTGAAAAGTCAAAGTTCCTTGGTATTCTACTGGATAGAAAACTGTCTTGGTCAGATCATGTAAAAGAGGTCTGTTCAAAAGTTAGTTCAGGAGTCTTTGCTCTGAAGAGATTGTCCTCTTTTTGTGACATCAAAACATTGCAATCAATATATTTTTCAATGGTCCATACCCATATTGGGTATGGTCTTGAAGTATATGGAGCAACATCAAATTTTAACCTCAAAAAAATTTTACATCTTCAAAAAGATGCAATAAGATCAATGCTTAAATTGGATTTTGATGCACACTGTAAAAAACATTTTATTGGATTGGGTATCATGACAGTTTATAGCCTTTATATTTACAAAACTGTTCTTCATGTTAAACGTAATATTTCAACATTTACTAGAAACGTCGATAATCATAATTACAACACAAGAAACCGATATAATTTCCAAATTAAAAAGCATAAAAAAGAAATATTTAAACAAAAACCATCATACATTGGAATACAATTTTTTAATCAATTACCAATAAAAATCAAAAATGAAACAGATGACAACAGATTTAAAAATGCTCTAAAATTACATTTGACACAAAATGCTCTCTATAAATTCAAAGATTTCTGGGCTAAGCAATAACAGCATTGACTTAAAATGTTTTAGGCCTATTGCTGTTTCACTGAACTATATTTTTGTTTTCACTGAAGAATGCTTTTGTTTTATACCTACTTGAGAGATGACTGTATTATTTTGTTGTTTTGTTCTTGTGTATTGTATTTGTCTTTTATTTGTGTTTATATTTTATGTAATGATGAATTTGACACCATTCTTGTATATACAATTTTATATACTAATGAATAAAGATGTTTTGAATTGAATTGAATTGAATTGAATTGAATTGAATTGAATTGTGATCGATGTTTTAGCTCCGAAAGCATCGATTTTATCGGTAGATCGGTACTCGGTAGAGATGGGCGTTATAACATAACAGGATGAATAACAGTGTTGCGGTCACGGCAACGTTATCGCGGCAACACGTTGTGGAGAACTCCCTGTTATTATAATAACGTATCTATCTACACAATGTTGCAGGAAAGCCGCGCGACAACGAAAACGAAAACATGCATTGCCATTAGTGCCGTTGCCGCAACGCTACCAGAGCAACGATAACTTCTGAAACAAACTAGAATAACGCATCCTGTCTGGACAACGCGGCAACGCCCGACTCCCAACTACAACTGAAAACTGAACTGATCAACCGACAATGATAACTGAACGCCGCAACACCGACCGGCGGACAACGGTTTATAGCGGCAACGGCAACGAGTTGGCAATCGTTATTGAAATAATAGGTTGCCGCAACACGTTATTGGGCAGCTGCGTTATCGTTATAACCGTTGCCGGAAAACAACGATAATTCCCATCTCTAGACTACTCGGCTGACGTCGGTTACGATCGGATTTGACCTTGAATAAACTACGCAATCGTTTCTGTTCGTGGCATGGCAACAAAATTTTCTATCTCGACACTCCCATTTTGACGTTTTATCTCGGTGTTCATTTCGAGAATGGTTTTAATACGGAGTATTTGATTCAGCACATTTAGGGGTTTTGGCTGAATTGTTAATAATGATATTGAGAATTCATGGTCCAATGACGAAATTCACGCATAATTCACGCACTTTTTCATGGTCACCTAAATTCACGCATAATTCACGCTTTTCAAGGTTTTCATGGCTGGTGGCAACCCTGAAAATGGAATGCATTTATTAAATCAAGTCTTAAATTGTTCCGATCTGGTAAGATGTAACACATTGAAAAGGAAAACGTTACAATTTGAACATTTTCATTAAGAGTGAATATTGATTAAATCAAACTTGCCCAGCGTGAAACATTAAAGTTAAAAAAATAAATTTATTACTCAAATATACCTTTGTCAACAATTAAAAACTGGAAATTAAATTTAAGTACAGATCCAAATTGTCCTAAATTGTGAGTGAACATCAACAACCTTTTTGGCTTATATACAACATTTTTTAGATGCTATCATTTAAACTACTGCAATTAAATTAGACTAGCTTAAAAGCAAATCATACAACACTTGGATATCAATAGTTGGAAACACACAGGCAACGAAGAGTTCTTTGTAACTAACATGCAACATCAATGAACTTTACGTACGGAAAGTAGCAAGTCGTCAGTGTACTCACCTGTACAGCCCGATGCATGAACTTGATCGCGGTGTCGTGCTCCTTGTGTAAGCTGAAGCAGTTTCCCGCGGCGCACCAGGCGTGGGGACTGTGGCGGTCTAGTGATATAAGGTCCTGCGCCAGCGCTGACAGTGCTGCTTCCCGCTGTAGATGCCACAGAGCCGTGCTGTACAGCTCCATACCCTCCATGCGATGAGCCTCCTTCTCTCTCACTTGGGAGAAATAGCTACAAAGTCACACAACTATTAGTTTTTTTGCTGTCAAGGCAAAATCGTGAACACCTCATGCAGACAAAGTGAAATCAAGTAGCCTACATCTTCCATGGTAACAACAATATTATCTGAAAAATACAGAAATATATTACGTCTAATAACACTTGCAATAATATATTTACACTTATACTGTTGACTTACAAGACGGTAAATACATGTAAAAGTTGGTAAGTGGTGATCGATTTCGATTGGGCACTCCAATCATCATCAGACCCAATAGGCGAATGATATTATGGTACCTAACACCCGCAGTCACAGCAGATCCTAAAATCTCTAATGCTGTCATAGCAAAGTCTGTGGCCATGGCAACACATCTTCCGCAATCGCATCAAACCATGAACATCACTCACAAATCGTTAATTTGGGATCGCATATCTTCAGAGCTGCTTTCTGTGATTGCTAACATAAAGACTCAACTAGGGTCAACCCGACCTAAGTTTGACCCAAAAACGATTTCTGGCAGGGACCACTCCCTTGGGGAAACTGTTGGCCTGACTCCGACCAAGCCAAAAATACTTAGGACCCACAGACTCCCCATATGAACTATCTGTAACAAATCTATAAATTGAAGTCGATAACGGAAAAGTTTAGAAATAAGTTAAATAATTAAATAAACACATAAAACATAGAATTTTTAGAGCTACTAGCTCCTTCTTCAGTATTAGTATCTTTCCGTCTGAAGAAGAGTCATGGAAAGACACTACTACAAAAGAAAAAGCTAGTAGCTCTGTAAATTCAATGCGTTATGTATTTATTTGTGTATTTTCATCTTTGTCAGTAAGGTAAGACTGAAGTTGGATCCCATCCATTACAAAGATAGATAACTTACTGCACGGCCTTCTGGTAGTCAGTGAGCTCCAGGTAGGCTCGGCCCAGCAGCCCCAGCACCCAGCCTGTGTTGTACTGTTGTGAAGGCAGAGACGACAGACACTCTATAGCCTTACGACATTGGAACTGAGACAGGTGTAGATACGCTGTGCCTACCTCCCTTAGTAGAGTCAACAAGCCTTCTGTAACAATCATACCAGGGGTGGTTAGAAACTAAGGGATATTTTAGAATCTGAAATAATAAATATTATAAGCAGTGTATTTGCTCAAAGTGACTCTTTTCAGCCCAAGCTAAGGATTAAAACCTGACGCTTTGCCTCGGCTGGCTGATGTGCGACCAACTATATTTGTTGTACTGCACCATTCTCTAAGCTAAATAATTCACAAAAAGTAAATTTCATACATTTTTGACACTTAGCCTCCAAAATAGTTTATTTTGTGTTTTACTACACTTGATCAGCTGTTGCTGTTATTTGGATTCAAATATATTCCAACACAATAATAAACTCATATTTAATTCCTGAAATTCTTTTACATTTCAATCTGTCTAAATGTCCAAAGGGGTGTATTTTAGTGAAATATACAGCACAACACGATGATTAACACACATGTGTATACATCCAACTTGTACCACACTCACCAATAGATTGTTTCTGCATGCCTAGATATTGCTGAGTCATTGTCGCACAGTTCATTTGGTTGTTGGAGTTGTCGCCCACAATAGATTCCGGCCGCTCACCCACCACGCCGAGGCGATTACGTTCGTTCAGGTCTTGGAAATTTGTTTTGTTCAGGTTCGCTTTCGCTAACCGCGACGACTTTGTTTTCCTCGACGGTGACTTTGGTGTGGCAAACTTGTTCCGATTTGGACTCTTGTTGTTTTCCTGCAAAACATTAGCAATGCCATTTTCACTATAAATCAGATCATTAAAAAAATTAATGCTGTAGAGCCTTGACTTAGATATGGTCCAAATCTGGTAAATAATTTATGGACGGATTTTTGTATAGTAAACCGCCTTTTAACAGCACTCAGTAAAACAAAAACCCGGGTAAACCAAAACCATCATAAAAAATTCAATCTGCCTGCAGTGGCTTGGCCAACAAAATGTAAGAGCATGACAACATGGATCTCATGCTTTGATATAGGTCTAGTTGAAAAAGTTAAGGAAACAATTTATCAACTATTTTGATTATAAATGTTGTGTATTCAGTTGTAGATTTAAGATGACATCAATTTACAAAACTACTATTAATACTGTTTTAGATCTCTTTGAATATACTTAGCCTTTAAATTCCTGCTTAGAACTGATTAAATAAAAAGATAGGTTATCAAAAATGACTTTGCCTCTTTATTTTGGTTGGCCGCAAGTCATCAGTTATTTAAAATCAAAACATAGCTGAACTAAGCGTCTGATAGAATACTGATATAAATTACCGATTTCTGTCGAATACACCAACTTTTAGCCAAGTCATGATAAGACGAGTTATTGTAAGTCACATCAACTATAGTAACAAAGACTAGCGCAGTAAATAGAACTAACTGTGGTACACTCTGTGGATGTTACCTTGACGGAGTAGCTGTTGGTGAAGAGACGCGAGGACCTGCGTACGTTCTGCGCCGTGTTGTTGAGAGGGCCGGGTACAGGCGTGGCGCTGGGTGTGGTCAGCACGTGGGAGGTGTTACATGACTGAGAGAACACTGTAGTCTTGGACTGTTGCAGTGGCGTCTCCTTGCGACTGATCAACTGCTACAACACACACACAGATGGTCAATACCGGCAAACAAATCCAAATCTCAACGCACATCCTACAACATTTAAAACTGAATTCCTCATTACATATTCAAGTGTGATTATTGCAAAATAAATAGGTACATAGTGTCTGGTGTAAAAATGTATTTCCCCTATTATAAACTTACTTTGAAACCATTCTTATACTTACAATTGATTTTTAAGGCCATTTACACAAGAATCGAAAAACCTTATGATCATCACCTACAAAGAGGTAATTTATGAAGATGATAATATCGCTAGGTTGCCCATTCCAAAAAAGTCTGTCATATCCCAAAACAAAACAAAAAATTTCTTAATACCTAAAATGTTGGGACTATCCCAAGCAAATAAAAAAAACATCACTAACAAAAAAAAAATGTTTGAGGATTTGTTGAGAGGATAGCAGGCTTACCTGAATGGGAAAGAGTCCAAACTGGCACAGGAAACATAAAACTTTACACTATGTACACAAATATTAGAATATTTCACTGTCACAGACCAACTGTACTTTGACCAAGCATTTTGAGTACTTACTCTTTTTGCCAATGTTTTTTGTTCGTTGGCATCAGTCAACGTTGAGTTAGTGGCAAAGAAGACAGGAAGAGGAGATGGGTAAACGTCCTGAGGAGACCAGTCTACCAGCGGCATCACTCCGAAACTAGGACAATACATTGTCAAATCAGCAATCATTACTGACAGTCTTTATTACACAGCAATATGATGATATGCTCTCAAAAAGGTTTTGTTTATGTCATTAAAAATACACTTGTCATGGCTAAACCTATGAACAACATGGTAGCTTCCAGAGTGCAGAAAACTCAACAAAATTACCATAAAGAAGATGTTTGAATTAAGCATTTTGTCTCTTATTACTAATAATCAGTCATTTAAGTTGTTGAGCATTGTATAATGCTGATTAAAAAAAAATATTTGGTTATTTATTACGAATAAAAACATGACAAACATCAATGATATGCTTGAAGGAGGGTTAAAATTCAAGACTTTGAAAAGCATCATGGAGATCTTTTAGCGGTAATAAAAAATTGTAAGTCTCAGTTATTTGTTGATAACATTAGGGAAGTCATTTTCTAATTGGTATTCTACTTCTTTCTAGCAGGGGCGAAATATCAAGTTTATTGTGTTGTTGACTTTCCTTGTACTTTCAACTACCTAGTACTCTTTTCTAATGTAAGTTAGATGGGAATCCATTCCTTCTTCCTTAATATATTCCTCACCAAATGTTTTTCTACCAAAACCTAACTTAATTTGTTGATAGGTAAATATCAAATACACAATATTTGTCTGGCAAATATTCAATCATGAATACAAACTTACCTCGGAGTTAAGGGGCTGACACTGCTTCCTGAGAACGCTTTTCTAAATCCCGAAGTTTTGGCAGATCGCAAAGGCAACATAGGACTATCGTCGGGTGAGAAAGGTCGAATACCACTGCATTCAATCTTGTTACTCGTTAAAATATTTTCTATTTGAATCGGTGTTCTGAAAATACAAAAAGGATTTTTATACATATTGAAAATTTCAGATGTTTAAATTTAAATTGAAGCAAAGCCGTCTCCACTGACAAACAATCAAATCAGCCTATACGTTATCATAGTGGTAAATGTATAGACTCTTGGTAGAAGTGTTTTGAGTATATACTATGGTATCCTGTTTGACTCTGTAACATTTTTGGATAATTTTGCACCCAAACCGACAATTACAAACGCAAAACTTATTTAAAATGTAATTACATCATAAAAACAGGATGTGTACTTGAGTTCAAGCAAAAAAATTGTATAGTAATCTAAAAGAACTAGAACCAAAGTGGTTGGTGGCGAATGATTCCAGATTCATTTGACTATTCATATAGAAGAGAATAAAAGTAAGCGTTGTATAAATAATCTTTAGTTATGCCTTTTACGTTACATATAAATTTGAGACCTTACTAATTAAATTACAACTGAGATTTTATGTGTTAATAGACATAAACAAAATCATCGAGATTCCTAAAAGTAAAATAGCAACTTTACTTTAGACTTACTGTATATTTAAATTGTTCTCCAGCCCGAATTCCGCAGGACTGGTTGAAACAAAAGGGTTTTGTGTGCCCGTAATGTGACCGAGATTGTCAAGATGGTTCATCGAGAAGATTTTGTTGGGTTCAGGCTTCTCTCCGTGGCGGCAAAGTTGTTCGTAAGACTGCCACAGTAGAGGGTTGAGCTTCAAAGCTCTTTTGTAGGCTTCGACACCGCGCACCGTGCGTTCCGAGGCACAGCACACGCGACCAATCACACTCAGAGCGAAGCACGACAAGTTGCCGAACTCTGCTGTGATCTCGTCTAGGCTGCGTGTCCGCGTGGCATCTCCTCCAGTCAAAACTGCCTCAGCCTCTGCGTTCCTGACAGTGGGAAGAAAATATTAGCTTAAAATGCTAAAAGTTGTCAAACAAAGGTCAAATCAAAAGAAAGATTGTGTGAAAAAAAATACCCTACTGAAGGCATCTAAATTTGTTCATTAACAGTCTTCATTAAAAAAATTTTGTTTCCACTAATAAATAACAAATATATTATATTTTGTTCTTATGATAAATGCAACGAAAACAGATTAGATTTTACAGTTTTGATTAATTAAAATATAATGTTCAATTAATGAATTAAGTAGCCTATTAAATTCATGATCATTCCAATGGTATTTTTAAAGACAATTTGAGTTTTGCATTTTTTATTATGTTTATGTTGGCCAAAATGTATCACAAAAAGTTACGGGGACAGTTCCGCAGAGGACCTACAACTACTACTATCGGATGATATTTTCAATGGGTTAGGTTAGTTTCGTTAAGTTAAGTGATGATCACAAACATGGTAGTTACTTAACATATACAAAATAAATCTTTTTCTTACTCATGAAAAAAGAGAACTTGAATATGCCTACAAACTGACATCTTTGTAAATTTATTTGTTTTTTTTCCTCAAACAACAAAACATTTCAACTTTTGCCAAACTGGACTAAACTAACTTTACTGCCGCAGATGAGTGTGAAAGAGTCTTCTTGAAAGGACCCTCGGCCTATTATGGCTTAACATTTTCATGTCTAATTCAATACATATAAGTTAGCCAAATCAATATTTATAAAGCTTGAAAACTATATCCGATTTTATTTATACATCAAACTAATATTTCATCAGATAATATTGTAGATTGTGGGATCTCCGCGGAACTGTTATCATAATTTCTAACATGTTCTTACTTCTGTAGGTCGAGACAGCAGCGGGCCAACAAGTATTTACACTGAGCCGAGACTGGGCCTTTGTCTTTGAGGATGTTGTAGGCTTGCGCAGGTTTGCCGCTGCGGTAGTAGCATGTAGCCAGTAGGAAAAGTGTTTCATCTGACTCCACTGTAAACACGGTTTCAAATATCTTAAATTGGATCATTTACAATATAATTAAACCTACTTCTCATTTTGATGAATAAAAAAATACATGTAATTAATAGGCCTATACGTCAGTTGAGCATGTCGAAGACACATTGCTGCAAACACATCCAAAACATCAGCCAGTATTTTCGCCTCTTCAATTAAAACGACCATCTCCAAAATACCAATTTTTGAACTTTTAGTTTCACCATAGAACCTTACAATAAAATTCCTTTCAAATAGTACGGTAGCTTATTTATTGCATTTACTATGTAGGGCAATGCTAAGAATTCAAATTTAATTACGGTACCGGTAGGCCTAAATAAGTAGCAAATATCTTTTTCACTTTCCAAACATTTTTTTATTTGAAGTCCAACTCACAAAGTAAACGGTCAACAATTAAAATTAGCTGTAGAAAACGGTTAAACATGTTTACTTCTTTACTAAGCGCTAAGTTTAATGTTCAAATTTCTGAATTAATTAAATTTAGTCACTACTAGAACGCCTACTTATCTCCTCTTTTAAGTGAATTAAAAGTTAAATAAACAAACATTAGATGTCCTTACCTTCTGCTCGGAGGCGTTCTGCTAGAAATATTGCATCTCCATAACTGTAATTGTTTAAGCAATGCCAAATGGCAGCCTGAAAAACATACATGTTGTCATTATCACAATGGAATATGTTTGTAACAGAATATAATTTATGAACAACACTCTTGTAACAACACACAAAATACGCCTATGTTAAATAATAAGTGAAAAAAGAAGATTGGAGGTTTTTAAATCCACTCATATTTTTAGAATTACAGTAATTGCTGATATAAAAAAACACGCCAATATATGACTGGGACAAAGGTGTCATCCTGTAATCCAGCTACTAGGAGGTCACAAATTGTGGATATTTATGGGCATGCAATGTGGATGCGATACTACCTGGTGTGGATTAAAGTCATCACTAGTGAGTAACGTACTAAGACTATCTGCAGTACTATAATGATAGGCCTAATTAGACTGATACGTTATAACCACGGCAAAAATGTGGTTCGGATTCCACTATAAAATTCATCCCCTATAGTAGTACCCCCCCTAGTAGTTCATCCCCTGTAGTAGTAGTAGGTCCCTTAGTTGCCATTAGCTGTATGGGCTATTACTTAAAAGCTATTAATGTCTAAGTGAATAAGTCGACCTTAGTCACTCACAAGACTACAAGAACGCGCCACTCATCCTACACTCATCCTACACTCATCCTTCACTCATATTTGGGTTGAAATACGGACATAGTTGCGTCCCATGATTGATATTGATCAAAAAATGAAACTGTGTTCTAAACCAACCTAACATAAATAACTAAATCTAACCAAACTTGCTGAATTGTTTCAAATGTTAGCAAGTTGGTAAGTTAGGTTAGGTTAGTTTAGATCAGATTTATTTTGATATTTTTTAAAATTGTTTGTTGATACTGAACAATATTTTTATTCATCGTAGTGTCAGCTGACTGTTTCAATTTGTTACCTACTTAATATTCGTTACTTAATATCGGAAAGAAAAAGAAAATATCGATACACATCAAACAAATCATCCATAATAATGAATGCTCCCTTTAACAGGAAAGTACTTTCATTGTTATAAACAAGATAGAGCTTTCAGGTTACCATATCAATAAAGTATACAGTACTAGGAAATACAGGCTTCTTGTAGGTTTATTTCAGAACGTCTCCTATAAAGATATTACGTCCACCGGCCAGGATTACCGGAAAAAAACTGTAACTCGTTTGAGAGATAACTGCGATGCTGAGTCTGGGACTAGGCACACACATGTGCAGAAATTGCTGAATAAGCTTTAGTTCTGCACGGTTGATTTGCCAAAGTTAAGCACAAACAAACCACAGTTTAATATTTTAACAGCACTGATCAGAGAAATGAGTTCCCTTTCCACCTCCCATCTTACCCCATGGAGACATAAAATGAAGAACACTTTCTTACGTGGTGTGACATGAATCCCTCTTTCTAAGTTATATCTTTCTTTTCCCCACAATGGTGTATTGCACACCTTTATTCACAGGGTCTTATCCTACCTAGGAATACCCAGAGCTTACGGTACCGTACTGACAAATAAATGTTCTACTCAATCCTAAGACATCCACTGCTACCGCACCTAGACAGAGCTTAGTGGGCCAGTCTAAAATAAACTATAAGTTATAAGATATTTAGTTCAACTTAAGTCAACTGAGTTGACTTAACGTTAACGTTGAATTAACTTTAACATTGACTTGAACGTCAACTTAAGTTTTTATAACTCAAAGTTAAGTGCCTAAAGATAAAAACTAATTAATACCGTAATTAACTTAGCCTACCGGTCCCATAGATTGAATAGGTAAGTATACTCAACAGACAGGAACAGGTTGTTTAATTAATTGTGCAGAAAAGAAATCGACCTGTCAATTTTTACCAACTGGAAACTAAGTTACCGGTAGTCATCAAAAAACAACAATGAGCTAGGCCTATGTCCTAATTCCCATCTAAATTTTTTAAAAGTTGAAGTCTAGGCCTAAGTTACAAAAGTCTGAACTTAAAAGACAATGGGTAATAGGCTTATAAGCATTGCCTTCTTTAGGATACAAGAGTGAATTTCTGACATGCAGTGCTTCCATAGGCTAAACAAGACTTTTATTACAAAGCCAGGATTTTTGAGGGATTAAAACGTGATGTGGAATGAAATAGGATTTTAGGTACCTTTCCTACGCCTAGTAACTTATGTCACTTAACCCTGGAAAGGTATCGTCATACAGCATGACGCTAAGGGGATCAATACGTAAATTTGACGTTTCATAGGAATCGCATAGTAAGGTATCGTCATATAGTATGACACTTTTAAGGTATCAATACGTAAATTTTATGTACTGCCGGCCGTTTTACCATAAACTAGCCGGCCGTTTTATTATAGGCCTCCACAAAGGGTATTGACACGTAAGTTTGATATGCGTTCCAAGAAATTGACTGGCAAGTGCATAAAGAAACACACTACGACCAAACCAAGGCAGCCATCGCACGGCAAATGACTGCTGAGAGCACTGCCGGAAGGAGGGTATTGTCGGTTGAGGGGGTGGGGTTGAGATGCTAAAAATAACTTGCACAACGTCATATTTACGTGCGATACCCATCTAGGGTTAAGGTTAAAATGGCAATTTTCACATGGACACGGCCAAAAGATCATTTGAGATGTGACATAATTTGTACGATACGGTACCGATACTAAAATGCGGAAAAAATAAGTTAGGATTTTAAAGCGGGATAGGTTAATAAAACAGGGTTCAGCAACCACATAAGCAGGATTTTTGTTTAACTTAGGGCGTGTGGTAACACTGCTAACAAGAAACAGCTGATTAAATGGGGTTGAATCGATCAATAGAAAGCATAAAACAATTGACTGCCTCAATACCGGTATATGCCCTAGGCCTTTGGTCCTTAATGGTATTGTTTTAGTGAAATTGGTGTGTTACTCAGTCAAGAACTTAATAGGCCTACTAACTTAATAAGTTAGCTGTGCAAAATAGCATACCTAATCTTAACCCTCCAAGCATCAAGCAAAAACGCCTTGGCGTCAAGCTGTTTTTTACTGATTTGCAGGATTTCATTAAACATAACCTAGAGCCTATTTAAATGTCAGAAACTATGATGTTTTGTATATAATTTTGTTCACAGGTTCATGGGCTACAATAATGTAGGCGTTAGGCCTATTTGCAATAAAAATAAAAAAAAATTATAAATGATACACAAAAAAATCAAAATATAAAGAATCTAAAAAAACTTTTAGCTTCGCGCTAAGTCAAAATAAAATATTTCTAGGCCTACAACTATTTGAAGATAGCCACATTGTCTGAAATTTTATGTAGATTACAAATATATAAACATTATTATAAGTTAGATAAAGTATAGTAACAAAAAGTTATAGGTGTAAAAGTGATTTCTGCGCCATGTTTATGGTCAGAATCTGATAATAGACTAACTTAATACAGGCTAGTCTGAATCTGATGTTGGAGGTTCATTTATTTCTAAATCACTGTCTATGTCCACTTCATCAGGATCATTTAACTCATCACCACTCTCAAATAAACAATCACGAATGTCACTATACTATCCATATTTAGAAATTAACACGACATCTAAAACAACAATCCACCATTTACAAGCAAGTGTTAGTAAACAAGCAACTGTCAACAAACAAAACATTGACAAAGTTTACAGCTGCGCTACGATCACTACATACAGTTTAGTGGCTCGAGACAGACATTGGGAGAAAGCCCAACTTCTGCCGTAAACGGTGATACCAATATCAATCAGTTGTCCCATTGCGTCGAATTGAATTTAGAATTGCCTATTTGAATGCAAATTGAACGGAACACTGCGTGTTCGTCTACGCGTAGATGCTCGACGCCCCACAGGGGGTTTTGTTCGTCTATGCGTAGACTCTCGACGCTCGGAGGGTTAAGTGTAGAACTGTCCAACCAACTTAGGAAAATTTATTGTTTTCAACAAATCCAGCAAGATAAAATTATTTAGGTGCTAACAACAGCATGCCTCAAAATTAACGATAAAAATACTGTAGGCCTAATTTATAATGGCATAACTTATAAAAAGAGAATATTTTTGTTGGCTTGGCCATTGTTTAGCATAAGTACAGGCCAATATATAGGCCTAGGTATGTTGTGTCCATGTTTGAGCCTATATTTTTAACAATAATAGCCTAGGTATTCCATTCAACACAATGTCTTAATGGAATGTATGTTTGACAAACACGTTAGTAGGCCAACAACAACAAACAACAGCTTGAAGCATTTTATGGATTTAACATCAACGATAGGAAGGGGAAGCAAAAAAGCCAGATGCTTAATGTAGTCTTTAAATTAGAGGTAGTTTTTACTTTAGGCTGAAGAGAAAATTTAGGGCCTTAATAGTGGGCCCAATCGGGAGTAATAATTTAATGAATTTAGCAATTGAAATGGTGAACAAATAAAGAATGAGAAAGTACTATACAAGTAGGGTAGTTAGGTAAAATTACAAAACGAGAACACACCCATTCACTGTTCTGAAAAATATTCTCTTACCTGTACAGGCTCCATAATCATCTTGATAAACTATTGATTTCACTGTTAACTAAATTGCGGAGTGAATTAAAATTTCTACAGAAGCGTACCAAGACTAATTTAGTCTCAGTGGGGAATGTTGAGGTAACACTTCACCTACACAGTTACAAAACTACCACCATCTTGGAAACGAAACGGGGGTAGACAGACAGGCCAGCTTGATCAATTTCTAAATTATTGGCAATGACCTTCAACGGTCGTGGGGTCCCAGTTTATCGACATCCCAAAAGATCGACACTGAAATAGTCCCACTTTGTCGACAACTCAAAATGTCGACAGTGTCGGTAATATGGGATGTCTGTAAAGTGGGATGTCGGTTATGTGGGATGTCTGTTAAGTGGGACGGTTGTGTAAATTTTCCCACTTTATCGACACGCAAAATGTCGACAAGCAAAACAGATCGACAAAGAGCGCGAGATTCAAATTGAAGGTGAACAGCTCTTGCTGAACAGATCGGTTGAGTATAATGAGAGTCGTTCTTTTTTTAAACTCCGAACGACTTCTATTCACGGCGCTTGCAGTCTCCTTCAAATTTGTCAATGCTATCTCAACTATCTTGTGTATATAATATGTGTTCTGCCGTTTGAAGGCTTAAAATAATTAGACATTTGTCGCACTTGTATTATGATTTATTAACTGTTTTTTTTTTCGTGTAAGAAGGTAGTTAAAACTTGATACCTAGGCCAAACTTTGCTAGAGGATGATTATGGTATCCATCCAAGTTTTTTTCAATCATACATTTATTTGAAATATATAATGATATAAGTACATAGTTTTTTTTCATTTAACTTACTAGCTTAGTGTTAAAACAGATAAACCCAAACAACAATTTTACGTTGTTCATTGTTACACTTTGAAATATTAAATTAGTTGTAGTACATTTGTATCAGCAACTTACAACGGAAATGAAAAACTGCGTTAATTTGCCTAAACAAACTGCAGATGCTTTGATTCTTTTGTTAACCTTTCCATTGACAATATGGCGATCCATAAAAAGCAATGACAACATAAAATTTTGCAATAATTTCTTTCCAAACTATTTTGTAGAGCTTAAAAAAAATTATTTAGTATATTGAAGCATTATTATGCGCCTAATGGTTACGGAGAAAACTCAAACAGCTTTAAATTTAAAATCCCTATGTTATTCTTATCTTATGGAGAATAAGTAAACTGTTGTAGTTAGCTTGTTTATGAACATCTTTTGATCTAAATTTGAAAATGCATATATTTCATACTAAACTACCTACATGTAATAATATTTTTAAACTTAAAACCCTCCCTGTTACAACATACCTAAGTACTTGTTAAACTAGTGCAATATTGAAATAGGGAATAATTTTGTGATATTTTAAGGAGATAGTGTAAATCCAATCAAGCAAATGGAAATTCGTTTAGTCTGCAGGTTTGCTGCGGGGGGGGGGTATTTAAAATAAATCATAGAGTTGTTGCAGTATTTAGAAACACACATCAGAACCACCTGTAAACTGTAATGGCTGCTTAAGAAACTTAAACACCTTATCTAAATGCAGTAGGTATAAAGAAAATAATAGTATATGCCTACTGTATTACGTTACTAGCCCGGTAAGCGGTAAGGTGTTTTATCGAAGGCGTAGCCGAGTACGGGATTTTCGTGCGACACAATTTATTTAGGACAGAACATAAATTAGATTTTTTTTTTATAAAATAGGCCGCTGAAATTAGCTGTTTATTTCAACAGCTGACTAAGTACACGGTAATAGTATATTACGTTACTAGTCCTGAAAATAAGTGTGTTTATCGGACGAGTGTGGTTGTTCCCGTGCGAGACGAAGTCGAGTACGGGATTACCATACGAGTCCGGTACACACATTTTGGACGAGTTACATACGATAGTTTACGTGATATTTTAAGGGAGACATTTTAGTGTAAATCCAGTTAGGCAAATGGAAATTCGCTTAGTATGCAGGTTTGCTGCGGCGGGGGTATTTTACTCTAAAGTCATGAGTGATTTATTTAACCAGATTTACATAAGTTATGCATTGGTTACGTCAATTACAGAAATACATAAAATATATACAAAATTCCTTCTGCATGCCACACATAAGCTATTTACAATTGGTTAAGATTTTAAATTTTGTTTGGAAATTCACTCATTATGCTCATGTAAAAATCTTTACCTTATTCTTATTACCCTCAAAAACCCATTTTCGCGTATTCCAATTGTGTTGGTTCGCGGACTCATTCGTTGTAGGTTAGGTTTACACGACACGTTTTGTACAAATTTCATCAGGATCGTATTATTTTTGCCATGAGAGATTTTTTCGCTAATGGTAATAGCGTATTACCTATATGGAACATTCACCAAAATGTTTTTACCTATTACCGTTTTAAATACGACAGTTTTTTAAAGTAGCCATTTCAGTTCAGTTCTTAGAATTGAAAAGTTTCACTTAACAGCTCTTTACTTTCATAACACTGAGCTAAAATTATAACTGGAGGTAGCACTGCCATGGCAGAAGTCTGTCAAAAGCGTGTCGCTGATTTTGTTAGGTTGGTATAGCAGTAAGTTTTCTTATCATAGCAATGACATGGCTTCTTATAACTAGGTTGGTATAGCAGTGAGTATTTTTGTCATACTTGAATACTTTATTAATTTTCTTTGAAATGGCGACCATACAAAGTAGGTATTTGCCAAGTATAATAATAGTTATAGCAATAATATGGCTTCTTATGACACCAGACTCACGCAAACATGGCGGCTGGCGACACGCATCTTTGACATTCAGTGCTACCTCCAGTTAGAATTATAGCTCAGTGTTTCATAACAGCATAGTTTCATTTCACAACAGCGTAGTTTTTCTCATAACAACACAGGCAACGGACCAATGAGGTTCAAGGATTGAGAGAAAAGAAGTAAAATTGGAATGCTTCGAACGTCATTTTAATTGATGATCCAACTTTTTCCTGTTAATACCAGCGAACACAGAATAAATAAACGGTATCAGCATTCTGACACATACTTTCTCCCATAAGTTTGTCAAAAACTTATGAAACATCATGAAATTGTCAAAAACCTTTATCATGTGTAAGTGGTGAGAGTAGATAACTGTATACGCAAATGAGATTTGTAAAATTTTGTTCAGAATTTAAAGGATTATAACATGCTAAATTTTTTTTCAAAATCGTTCGGGCCAATTTTGAGGTAATCCGATTTTTCTGTTATTTTAAGGGGGTTTTATGGTAAAATGACATAATTTACAATAACTTTTGAACCGTAATTTTTACAGAAATGTGATTTGTACCATTTTGTTCAGAATATAAAGGACTATAACATACTAAATTTTTATCAAAATCGTTCGGGCCATTTTTGGGAAAATCATATTTTTTTGTTATTTTATGGGGTTTTTATAGGAAAATCCCCATTAAAAATAAAAATTTCCAAAAAATTAAAAAAAAACTATCAAAACTGTAAGGAGTATAACATACTGTGTTAAATCAAAACCGGATGTTTTTCTAAAATCCTATTTTTTGTTGTTTATGGGGTTTTTATGGGAAAATAACATATTTGACCATAACTTTTGAACCGTAATTTTTAAAGATATGGGGTTTGTACCATTTTATTCAGAATTTAAAGGGCTACAACATACTAAATTTTTATCAAAATCGTTCGGGCCGTTTTCGAGAAAATCTGTTTTTTCCGTTTTTTATGGGTTTTTATGGAAAAATTCCCATTAAAAATCAAAATTTCAAAAAAATGAAAAAAACGCCTGGAGATACCATGGATTAGAACCTACATACCAAATTTCATCGAAATCGGACCACAGGTGTGGTCTCTAGCTCTGTACACATCCAGACACACAGACACACACACACACACACACACACACACACACACAGACATCACTTCGAAAACCACTTTTTTAGGTCCAGGGGGACCCAAAACGAATATATCCACTCAAAACTCAAACTCGAAAATTTTGACGAAAACAATACTTTCTCCATATACTATGGTATAGGGGGAGAAAGTAAAAATTGCATCCACATTCCATAAAGACCATAAAATGCACAGCTTTCGACTTTTCAAGTTTGTCGCCATTTTGGAATTAATATTTTTAACTAATTTTATGGTCTTTTTGGAATGTGGATGCAATTTTAAGACTTATTTGACGTAGGTATTTACTCCTCGCATAAAAAACGTGTAAACCTACGTTTATTCGAACGAGTTCGCGAACCAGCATAATCGGACCATGGGAACAGGGGTTTACGGGGGGGTTTTATGGGGTAAAAATGGGGGTTTTCAATTTTTTCCCCTAAAACAAAAAGTTTTCAATTTATTTTTAAACCGTTTTGTAGAGCTTAAAAAAAGAAGGTATTTATAAATTAAAATAGGTTCAAAAGTAAGCACAAAATGGATTTAAAATCTATATAATTAATACGCTACATGAAACTTTGTCGCCGCCATTTCTTAAACGATTTTATCCATTGACGTCTCATTGGAAAGACCGTGTCACGTAGATTTGCAAACTGGCCTTACATTTTTGAAAAAGTCTCTTGGGCTCTGCCCAAAGATCCCATGTTATCCTTATGAAGAACAGAATTGTTATATTTTGATCAGCTGTATATTTTAATTGCTGTTATTTAGTTTTCAATTCAATGAAACGCATTGGGTACATTTACTGATTTTGTTGAAATTAAATATTTACTATTTAAATTTACATTTGTACATATTACAATGTAAATAAACGGTATCAGCATTCTGACACATACTTTCTCCCATAAGTTTGTCAACAACCTTTATCATGTGTAAGCGGTGAGAGTAAATATACGGAAATGGGATTTGTAAGATTTTCTTCAGAATTTAAAGGACTATAACATACTACATTTTTATCAAAATCGTTCGAGCCAATTTTGGGAAAATGTGATTTTCCGTTATTTTGTGGGGTTTTAATGGGAAAATAACATAATTTACAATAACTTTTGAACCGTAATTTTTACAGAGATGGGATTTGTACCATTTTGTTCAGAATATAAAGGACTATAACATACTAAATTTTTATCAAAATCGTTCGGGCCATTTTTGGGAAAATCTTATTTTTCCGTTATTTTATGGGGTTTTATGGGAAAATACCCATTAAAAATAAG